TGTGCACTGCAGCTCTCCAAATGTTGGGCCTCTTCCAAGCCCTTGACACATCACGGAAATGTGCGCAGTTATCAGCAAGCATGCGCAGCCGCTACAAACATCATAGAGTTCGGCGTCTTCCCAGCGCCTCCAGCGGAGAACTGAGCACACGGCCCACAGGCAACGTCAACAGCCAGAAAGGCATCTCACTCTTGCAGAGCGAGTCCCTTGCACCCACATGGCGCATGTGGGTGCCCGAGGGATGCATGGAAAATGTCTGGCTAAATGTGGCTTTGACCATCTTGAGGCAAAGTGTCTTTATGTCATCTAGCCCATCTGGACCAATGAGGAAGTAGCCTACAATTAAGGTTAGAATGAAATACGGTATCTACATCCTTCACTTTGCCTTTTGTAATTGCCTTATCTTGTCTTTAATCTGTGTTGTACTCGTTTTCTGTGAAATGGCAGAGTGACAAGGGAATACTGGAACTCAAGAAAGCAGGGTAAAATTTGCAGGATTCCCCACTCGTTCTACGCAGAGAAGGGTCTTGGGCAAATCCTTACTGAACATCCAGGTCAGCTGATTCTCCTGGCCGTCAGCCTCCTGAGTAGCTGGGATTACAGGTGCATGCTACCACGCCCAGCTAATTTTTGTATTTTTAGTAGAGACGGGGTTTCATCATATTGGTCAGGCTGGTCTCGAACTCCTGACCTCAGGTGATCTGCCCACCTCGGCCTCCCAAAATGCTGGGATTACAGGCGTGAGCCATGGTGCCCTGCCTTAGATGTTTTTTTGTTAAAATTTTTTATTTTTAATTTTTGTGGATACATGGTAGGTACATATATTTATGGGGTACCTAGATTTTTTGATACATATTTAGATTTAATAGTTATGATTTGGTTTTAAATTTTAAATTAAAGATAATACTTATATCAAGAATCATTTCTACTAACGAAAAATGTTTATTTCTAAGTAAACTATGGTTCTTCTCCCAATTATTTTTAAAGCAGAGATATAACCAGAGACATTACATATTCTCCAGATTTCTGACTTTAGAGCATGACTGTCTTCATAAAACTGAGTGTTCAATTACTTTCCAATTTATTTCACATGATTTTTTCATATCAAGTAAATTTTCTTTCATCTGTGTTTGGCAAACTGAAACAAGGTTTTAAACTTTTATTTATATTACAAGTTTTTGGTTAAACTGAAATGTAGAATTTATAGAAAATACAAGAGGAAATGCACATTTAATTAAAGGCAAGAACAATGACTAAGGAGAGAGAAGGAAAAAAATAAAAAAGATTAACCTAGTACAATGTCCTATTCATGCTTAAAATAACACCTGATGTTGATTATGATAATGACAAATATACTTAGAAGAAGTAATAAAAAAGCATTCCACAAATATAGCAGCCAGTTTTCAATGATCTACACTAGTGGTTTTTAACCCATGTTCCACAGAGCTCCCTTAGGAACCTTGGGACTGGAGCAGGGTGATAAAGTGGGCAGGGCTCTGGAACATCCAAATCCCACTACGAAGTAGCTCCAAAGTTTTCGGTCTTATTTGCTTATGCTTCTAGTCAAGGTTTCATTATAAAAAATGGGTTTCCTAGCAAATAATAGTTTAAAAGACACTAAGCCACACCAATGGAAAGGGGAAGTGTAGACAATAACTGAAGAGTATAGTGGATAATAACCTTTTGAGAAGGATAATCCCTAAGATGGTTATAACTATTCACAATTAAGCTCTCTTTAGTAATTAAAATTATTCAGCTTTTCTGAAGCACAAAAATTGGACATGGGGTGGGTAAAGAAAAGATAATCTCAGTGATATGTCTGGTTAATCAAAATTGAAGTGAAATGGTTAAAATATATGCAAATAATTGAGCATTTCACACATAATAATAAGAAATTGACTATACCAATTGTCACATCAAAAGAGCTTAGTAACATTTCTAAATAATTAAAAATACATTCTATTAAAAATTATAAGTGAAAGAATTTATCAGTGAAAAATGTAAAGATTATAGCATATTTACTGTGCAAGGAGATTTCTCCAGAAATATTCTCAAAAGAAGGGTTAGCTCTTCTGAACATGTTCTTGAACTCATCAAAGATACCAAAAGATCCACCAATACTTTCTGGCATGCTAAATTAAAGAGGAAAAAAATTAAGGCTAGTACACAATTAGAGGAACAAATGAGCAATTTCACCAAAAGAGCTAAAATACTATTGTCACTTTTTGAATGGATTATAAAAAATCTAGTATAGCAATCACAAAATTTGCTGAAGAAATAGCCATATAACTAAATGTAAATCAACCAACCAACCGTCAAAAACAACAAAAACCACTTTTCTTTTTAATATTATTTTTTTTTAGACAGAGTCTCATTCTGTCACCCAGGCTGGAGTGCAATGGCATGATCTCAGCTCACTGCAACCTCCACCTCCCAGGTACAAGTGATTCTCCTGCCTCAGCCTCTCGAGGAGCTGGGACTACAGGCACATGTTACCATGCCCAGCTGATTTTTGTATCTTTAGTAGAGACGGGGTTTTGCCATGTTGGCCACGCTGGTCTCAAACTCCTGACCTCAGGTGATCCACCCGCCTCAGCCTCCCAAAGTGCTGGGATTACAGGCGTGAGCCACCGTGCCCAGCTGACATGAGCTCACTTTTCTTAAAGATTAATTAGCTACAAATAAACTAAGGACATTCTTTAAAGAAGCATAAATCAACATAATATTTGTTAAGCTAATACTTCTATATAATAAAATAGTCTGCTAACTTCTAATCTTGAAAATGTTTAAATTATATCTATCACTTTTTAAGTACAAAATTAGATGACAAGTAGTGGAAATATTAAAGATGATTTAAATACTTAAAGATCACCAACTATTTAGTTTGAACATTTTCTTCATTCCATCATAGGTTTAGCACAAAATATAAATGGTGATACACAAATTCATAGAATTCTTTAGAGCAAAATAATAACTAATATTTGTAGAGCAAATTATAGTGTTCAAAGTATTTTTACATGCTTTATTTCAGCTGATCCTCACCAAAAACAAAAAAATCCTACAAAATAAATATTATCTCCACTTTGACCTGAAAGAAATAATCTTGATTTAAAACCTGAGATAAGTTTTAAAGATTGGTAGTTTTGGAAGACCTGGAGGTTAGAGAATAGAAGCTGTATTTAAGCAACATATTTTGCAGAAGCAATGAGCTGACACAGTAGCAAAATAGTACATACATCTGGACAGACTACTTGCAATGAGACCATAAAATAGCATGGACTTTGTCTTGTATGTAACATGAATCCATTAAAGGTTTTTAAGTAGGAAAATAATATGATCAAAGTGTGTGTGCGCTTAGTTTTTTTTTTTTTTTCCAGTTCAAAACTAACAGATTCCAGTTAAAAATGGGGGAATGGATATATACACTTGCTTCTGTGTACTACTGAAAACTCACAGCATTAAAGTACAGAATTATAAGAAGGAAGAAACCCATAACAGCAAAAATATGTGGGGACAGTGGGCATTGGGGCACATCTAGTGAGAGATTTAAAAATATTTCTTAAAGATGGAAAAGCAGATGGATAAAAGACAAAGCTGCAACCTAGAATTTCTCTGAATTAAAAAGAGGTTCAGAGCAGTAGGAAGCCGAGCTGTCCATCTAAGGTCTGGAGAGAAAGTGAGAGTGCGGCTGACAATACAGGGATTAATGAAAGGTCTCTCTGTGAATATCCACCTCTCTCCTGTTTCTCAGTACAGAGCACAGATAGTTCAGTATTCACTTTTAGGTTCCAAACCTGATAACTCTTCTCTAAAGAAACGAAGTGGATTACCAGGCAAAAGCTCAGGTATATATAGGCTTTTAGCATCACGGCTACCGAGTATAACTGTCCAGTCTGCAGACTGAACAAACTGCCTAACCAGAGGGAAAAGCAGAGACTAAAATAAAGCATGAATGCTGTATGCCAAGCCATGTATCCTAGTTTTGGGCTGTGATGCCTGGATCAAGAAAGGGATGCCTTTTTTCCCAGCACAAAGACACTATAAGCCAGCCAAGCCCTATATGTGAAAGATGCATTTTTCTAAGGTATGCAAACTGCCATGCAGGCTAATAGTATCCCTAATGGTCCCCCAAAGTAAAGCTCTCTTCATTACAGTGTTTGGGAAGCCCCTAATCATCCAACGGCACATTCACACAGAGCTCTTCAACATACTACCCACTCAGGAAAGAGGCCAAAATAGAAAATAAATTCACTTTCACAGTATTAGAGGAAATCTCCAACAGTTTTACTAAATATAAATAGGCTTAAAAGGTTCATAAAAATATTAGAGAATTAGCAACCTAAAGCAGTAAAAACAATACTTAAAAAACAAGAAACAGACAAAACTGACCCCAGAGGAAAATGAGATAATTTGGGGACAGAAGAAACTTTAAGATGTTTGTTACTATAATCAAATATATACAAGGAGATATCATATCCTTATATGAAAAAGAAATAACCAGAAAACAGTCAAGCAAAAAAGAGTTCTTAAATATTAAAATTACCAAAATGAAAAATTAAATAAAAGATTGGGATTGAAAAAATGTCTCAAGATGTAGCATAAAAACAGTGACATAGTCAATATGACAGGAAAGATAATCTTATCTTTGCAAGATCAATTGGGAAGGCTCAAGATTACAATTAGAATACAAGAAAAAAAGAGAAGGGAATATGGAGAGGAGAAAATTATTTTTTAAAATAATAACGCTTCATGATCCTGTATTAGATCTAAGATATGACACTAAAAGCAAGGCAATGAAAGTCAAAATAGACAAATAGGACTTCATAAAAATCTTTTAAAATGTGCTATCAAAGTAAACCATCAAGAAAGTGAAGAGACAGCACAAATAATGGGAGAAAATATTTGCAAACCACATATCTGATGAGGACCTTCCATCTAGAATATATAAAAAAACTCTTACTATTCAATAATCAAAACACAAATCACCAGTATAAAAATGGCTGAATGATTTGGATAGACATTTCTCTGAAGAAACCCAAAGAAAATATGCAAATAGCTAATAAGCACACTGCTATGGTGTAAATATCTGTCCCCTCCAAAACTCAAGTTGAAATTTAGTTTCCATTGTGGTAGTGTTAAGAGATGGGATATTTGGGAGGTGACTGGGTCATGAGGAGTCTGTCCTCATGGGTGGGATTCATGCCCTTATGAAAGGGAGAGTTCAGCCCCCTTTTGCCTCTTTTCCTTTCTGCCTTTTGCCATGTGAGGATGCAGCAAGAAGGCCCTTGCAAGATGCTGGCACTTTGATCTTGGACTTTCAGTCTCTAGAACTATGAGAAAATACATTTCTGTTCATTATAAATCACTCAGTCTGTGGTATTCCGTTATAGTAGCACAAAAGGGACTAAGGCACACACAAAGATATACTTAATACATTAGCCTTCAGGGAAATACAAATCAAAACCACAGCAAGATACCACTTCATATCCACTAGGAGATATATAATTAAAAAGGCATATAATAACAAATGTTGGCAAGAATGTGAAGAAATTAGGACCCTTATACACTGATGGTAAGAATGTAAAATGGTATAGCCATTTTGGGCAATCGTCTGTCAATTTCTCAAATGATTAAACACAGAGTTACCATATGACCCAAAAGAAATGACTCAAGAGAAATGAAAACATATGTTCACACAAGAAAACTGTACGTGAGTGTTCATAGCAGCATTATTCATAGTAGCAAAAAAGTAGGACAACCCAAATGTCCATCAACTGAAGAATGGAAAAATCAAATGCAGTATACCCACACAGTGGAATGTTATTTCAGCCAAAAAAGAAAAGAAGCAGAGAAGGGGAAAAGTAACTTTATAGTGGAGAGACCTGACAAACACTACTTAATGCAAGTGATCAGGGTCAACATCAGCAATTATAAATCATGTTGACAATATGTACCCTTGATATGATTTAATGGCAATGGCACTTTGCTTCTATGATCTTCCTCTCAAAAGTCCATACCCCTAGTGTAATCATGACTTTTGACCAAGGTGCCAAAACTTTCATTCAATGGGGGAGGGACAGCCTCTTCAACAAATGGTGCTAAGAAAATTGGATATTCACATGCAAAAAAAATAATAATAAAATTGGCTCCTTACCTAACACCATATACAAAATTTAACTCAAAATGAATTCAGGACCTAAATGTAAAACTATATATCTCTCAGAATAAAACTTAAGGGGAACACTCCATAATATTGGATTTGTCAATGATTTCTTAGATATGACACCAAAGGTACAGCCAACTAAATAAAAAAACAGATAAACTGGACTTCAAAATGAAAAACTTTTGTGCATCAAAGGATACTATCAACAGAGTAAAAAGACAACCCACAGAAGAGGAGAAAATATTAACATATCACATATCTGATAAGGAATCAATATCCAGAATATATAAAGAATTCTTAAACCTCAACAACAAAAAAAGAAACAACCCAATTCGAACATAAGCAGAGGGCTTGAATAGACATTTCTTCAAACAAGATATACAAATGGCCAATAAGCACATGAAAAGAGGTTCAACATCACTAATCATTAGGGAAATACAAATCAAAATCACAAGATAGCACAATGAGAAAAATGTCAAACAAATTCTAATACAGGGACATTCTTCAAAATACCTGACCAGTGCCCCTCAAAACTGTCAAGGCCAACAAAAACAAGGAAAGTCTGAGAAACTGTTACAGTCAAGAGGTACCTAAGAAGACATGACAACTAACTATTATGTAGTATTATCCTGGATAAAATCCTTGAACAGAAAAAGGACATTATGTAAAAATTTAAGAAATCTGAATTATGGACTTTAGTCAATAATAACATATCAATATAAGTTCATTAATTATAATACATACATCACAAAAAGTTAGATGTTAATAATAAGGGAAACTGGCAGGGAAGGGTGTAATGAGGGAACTCTATAATAGCTGTTCAATTTCTCTGTAAATCTAAAGGTGTTCTAAAACATAAAGTCTATTAATAAAAACTGAAGGAGAATTGCTTAACCTGGGAGGCGGAGGTTGCAGTGAACTGAGATCGCACCACTGCACTCCAGCCTGGGTGACAAGAGCAAAACTCTGTCTACAAGAAAAAAACAAAAACCAAAAAAACCTGAAAAAAAGGAATCCATACAAAGTAAGAAATTTAAAACATGATTAGAGAGCTAAAGTGCTGAAACATGCTACCACAAGAATGAAGGTTGAAAGCATCATGCTATGTGAAAGAAACCAGTCACAAAAGACCACATATTCCATGTATATGGAAAAACATCCAGGAGAGAAAGTAGATGAGTAATTGCAGAAGAATCCGTGTAGAGGACGGTTAAGAGGCAATGGGCAATGACTGTTAAAGGGTACAGGGTTTCTTTTGGAGGTGATGAAAATGTTCTAAAATTAATTGTGGTGATGGTTGCACAGCTCTGTAAATAAACTGCCTACTACAAAACACTAAACTCTACACTTTAAATAGGTGAAAGTTATGGTATGGGAATTATATCCCAATAAAGCTGTTATTAAATAATGGAACATAATTTCTCAGAGTTAAAATGGAAACACATATTCAGAACACAAGGGTTCACTAAGTGCCTAGCGTAATAAATAAAAATACACCCATATACTAAATAAGTAAATGAATGAGAAGAGAAAGCTTTTCCTTAAAGTACAATCTCAGTGAATAAATGCAGAAGGAATGATGGAAATAGAAAATCACTATTTGGCAGATACCACAGAATTAACTGTCTCACTCAAGAATCATCATACTTTCGTATTTTTTCATAATACTAAAATTAGTGGATAAAAGAATGAGAAAAAGTACATTTACATAGTCTCAAGTTATCTTCCCACAAGATACTTATTAATTATAAAGGGATAATAGTAACTTTATAATAGAGAAACGGCAAACAACTCCTTAACCACATGATCAAAGTTAACATCACCAGTAGTAAGATCCATATATCATAAATCCTTTTGATTTGATGCGCTCAGAAGGACCCAGTATCACTTCTGAGTACTCCTGCCAAAAATGTATAACCTGAATTTAATCATGAGAAAACATCACACAAACCAAAATTAACGTCTCGTGTAGGCTAGCCTTAAGTTCTCCAATTAAAATGTAGATTTATTGTGATTAGCAATCATATTATACATTCATTATGACTTCCTCAAATGTCTGAGGAAGTACCAAGTACAGAGTAATCAATATCAGATATGGCAACAACATAGCGTTAGACTGGGTTTACAGTCCCCACAATACCACTTCTATGTATACGACCCTGAACAAGTCAACCCCTTGGAATCTAGATTTTCCTCTCTATAAACATACTTGCACTGTGTCCATTTCATTGTGTGGATCTGAGGAACAAATGGGATAATGCATATAAAGACGCTTTTTTGAAATCACAGAGCACTATGCCAATAGAAGACTTTTTTTTTTGAGACAGGGTCTTGCTCTGTCACCTAGACTGGAGCGCAGTGGCACGATCATGGCTCACTGCAGCCTTGGCCTCCTGGGCTTAAGTGATCCTCCCACCTCAGCCTCCCGAGTAGCTAGGACCACAGGCATGCGCCACCACACCTGGCTGATTTTTATAGATGGGGTCTCTTTGTATTGCCCAGGCTGGTCTTGAACTCCCAGGCTCAAGTGATCCGCCTACCACCTCAGCCTCCCAAAGTGCTAAGATCACAGACATGAGCCACCACACCCGGCCTGAAGCCATTATTATCAACTTTTCACAAAAAATAATTTCAGAGCTATTGTTAAAAACAGTTTCAACTTACCTTGAAAATCAGAATCGGCCTGTGTTAAAATACTCAAGAATCCTCCTAAAAGATTTTTCACAGTTCCCTGAAGATTACAAAAAAAATACAAAATTAAATTACTTACCTCACAGAAGCATGAAACAACTGTAATGTCATAATAAATTATATGATAGGGTATCTACTATATGTGTATATATGTATTTTAAAATGACTAAAAAGACTACTATGTGTAGGATTATACTAATTTTCATTTTCTTTTTATACTGTTTTTAAATTTTCTGATTTTTCAAAACAGTGAGCATATATTCAAATTAAATGCATTTTAAAAAATATTACCCATTCTCAGAAATAGATGAGAATTTACTACTGGCTAGCAAAGGACATTAATTTTTTATGCTACTTTTAAAAAACTATGGAATTAGAAGATTTTGGAATACCACTTGTAGGTAAAAACACACCTGAGGTACCAGAAAAGATAAGTAATCATCTCAAATAATTTTCAGAAAAGTTGGGTTATACATTAAGGAGATGTTATTGGGTGATGAGTCTGATAAATATTGATCACATTTAACTAAATGAATCTTTTACCTGTTGCATGAGCAGAAAAATATTCTTTTCTTTCTGCCTAATAATTCTCAAAAAACTCTCAAATACATGGGCAAGCACATCAAGTTTGGCTTTACTAGCAGAAAGCAAATTTAATTCCAGCATACAAATCTCAGGATATAGTATTTCCCCTTGAGTGAGGTTTTCGAGTAAGTCATTTGGACTTCTTGATGCACTGAAACCTTCTGTTTCAGACTTTAAGTCTACCCCTGAAAAGAGAAAAACAAAAGATTATTTTTATTCCCTAAACACTAAATATTTAAAACTTTATTAACCATTTAGAAGATCTAGTGGCAAAAGTACTATTCAGAGGATGCTTACAAACCCTTTTCCAATCTTTTCCTACAACACAACTTATGACAATGATATGGGTATTCTGAAGATTAATGAGTTGCCTTAAAAGCAATTTTCATCTTCAGTAGAACCACAAATTTTACAAATAAACAGGAATTTTTATAGACATATGATACAGATTTAACACATCCCATGGACACAACTTTAAAAAAAAAAAAAACCTATTCAAACTTTCTGACCCCCCCAAATACCTAAATCACAGAGCAGTTCAATTTGCCTACCCAAATCTTTGTGAAAATAGCAGGCTTGGCTATTGGTTGGATGAATTCTCAATTTTGCCGACTTCATAACTGAGAAACAATCCTGTCTTATTGAATATTGCATTTTGGAAAAATTGACTTGTAAGATCTTTTAAGACTGCTGTGCTCTTAATAAAACGTTGATATAGTTAAGAAATTTGTAAATTACACCACCCAGTTACGATTACAACATCACCCAGGTTATCTATTTCTATTTTATTATCTATTTCTAGTATTTATTGTCTTTCACACTAGAATATACATGAAATTGGGGAAGCTGTCCTTCACTCCATGTTCTTAGGCACTCAGACGATGTTTGTGATAACAAACTATATCACATTGTTGCATATATGAATGCCAGACTGTTGGGAAGATCAATAAAATGATAATGCAACACATTTGTTAAACTGTAAGGCAATACAAAATTCTAAAGTGGTATTATTATGAACTATTTTGCTATTCAATGATATGGCTTGCAGATCTAATCACAAGCACTTCAATGATATTTTACCATCATCTTGGGTTTTGCCATCTTCAGGATTGCTTTCACTATCTGCTTCATAACCTTCTTCTTCAACTAAAAGCTTAAAACTACAACACTGAGAATCCTCAGCTTCTTCTGAAAAATCACCAGGCTGGGATGACAATTCTTCTGCAGATTGACGACTCTATAAATCAGTGTAATTCAAAGGTAAAAGTTGTAATATTTGCTTGTTTTTAGTTATAGAATACTTATTATTCAAAAGTCATGTTAAGGACAGTTTCAATATTTTCTTAAAGAAAACAACTTAGCAATATGAATTATTATAAATTATGAAATTCACTCAGCAAAATTTCCCAGATGCTTTCAGACAACTTAATACCTCACAAAAGGGGGTTTCTAACAAAGTAAGTTACAGGTCATTTATTTATTATTTATTAATAAATTAATATATGTAAGAAATTTCATTCTAGTTATACAATAGGAAATGACTAAAAACCACAATGTGGTGAAATTTTACTTCATACAATTTAATACTAATATATATTATTTGTGCACATTTGTTAATAAAAAGATTTTTTCATAAGGATTTTTATAAATGCCTCATAAATTAGGTACTAGAGCAGACAAGACATTTTTTTCAAAGGGATTAATTAAAATATCTCGGAATGCAACTGTCTACATAACAAGCATCTCAGAAATCAAGAGTTCCAGTATTAACTTCCTGTGTAAGACAGAAATTTTCCTTTTCTTATAAAAATGTCACTAATACCTTCATTTCAGAAAACATTTTCACCTAAAGAAGCTCAGAATACTTCATCATTGTAACAACAATAAAAGGTAGAATAAAGTAGGTATTTTAACATTTTATAGTTAATCAATTAATTCAGTAATATGATGAACATTAATAGCTATTTCAGCATGTTTTTAAGTTATGCCAAATAGTAACATACAATGTTATTTCAAAACCTTATAAAACATCATATACATGGCTAGATCAAGGAATTAAAAGAGAAGTCACATAAAAAATAAAGGACAGAAGGCAACTAAAGGTAAAATAAACATAAAATGAGAAGGAAATGAGCTAATTATGCACCATATAATTTTAGGAAAGAAAATTAAAATAGTTGCTTTAGGAAATAACATTAAACAACTAAAACATTGTGATTGTTATTTTCTATGTAAATACTAGTCATTTTTATGTTGAACGATTTAAAATTAATGTGAGTAGAGAGTTCTGGAAATATTAGCTGTACCACCAAAGAACCAGATAGGATAGGTAAATCATCACCATCCCTGAATTAGCATTTAATAAACTATCAGGTATATGTAAAATATACCAAATCAAGTAATATATTTCTGTCTTAACTGGAAGTAATTCTCAGTAAATTTCCAGATTAGATAAGGAAAAGCATATCATACTGCTCTCCTGTTATGTATAAGACAGGGCAATGACAAAATACTATTCATCCCATCATATATCCATCACGTGGTAATAAGATCCACTGAACTCATCTGACCAAGTCCTAGTCCATATGCTCAATGACATTCATCAGCATCCTAGTCTCATCCCAACTTCCGCCTCTGCTGGTCATACCCAAAGAACACAACTATATGTCGTTATTCATACCTTCTCAGTCACAGCATCACTATGTTCAAAATCTGCTGAATAATTCCCAAGGGCAACTCGAAGCAGGGCATCAAATAATGGCTTTGCTAGTTGTGTTTCAATCACCTTTGACTGGGAAAGATGGTCCCTCATTTCAAATAATATATTTTCCACAGACAAGTTCTAAGGTAAAATAAAAGAGACTAAGAATATTAATAACTATTTAAAAAACTAAATGATGAAAAAATAAATATTTACCTAACTATAAAGCTAATCCATTTACTTGCAGTTGATATGAAAGTAAAATGACTATATAAATATCTAGCTCTATACAAACATCCTGTTAAAATTAATAACATTTTTATTGATAAAATACTTAGTTCATCTTATTTGGTTTTCATTGCAGCATGGTAAAGAATGACAAGAAATGAAGCTAAGCAAAGAAGTCAAAGCAAGACTGAAGAGTTTTGTGTGCTGTGTTAAAGCGTGTGAATTTCAATTGTGGAAATTCAGTGTGGAAACATCAGGATTCTTTAGAGATAAGGCAACATGGAGGCTGGAACTCAAGTAGGAAGAGCCTGTTGGCTGGCTGAACAGTTAGGGGTTAGTTAGTGAGGAGAGAAGAGGTCTGCCATATTCCCAGTCCCTGGATTCCTTTTTAGTCGAGAAATGATCTCAGGAGAAAACTTGTAAAAATGTGAGGGAAAGCAGAAAAGGTTAGGGGAAGAATCTGGACAAAGATGTGGTTTTAGGAGAAGTCTAGTCCCAGCCTCATTTCCTGGGAAGGTCTGGAGCCTGAAGTGCCCCACAGTGATTGTCGCCACTTCTTAGAGCCACATCTATCAGCATTAGCTATGAGCATCCTTCCCGGGCAACCCCCTGTGAGGCATGTCCCATCGGCCAAGGGCGATTCCTGGAAGACGGGTGCTGATGTGCAGATGGTGAATGGGTGATCAGTTTGGTAAAGGAGATCTGGGCAGGGCAGCCAAAGATCTAAATCACACAAAGATTTAGATCTTTCAACTTTGAAACACAATATCCATTATTATTCATCTGACACTTAAAAAATGTGTGTGTGTGTATGTCTGTGTATGTGTGTGTATATATATATAAAACGTAATATATAAAAAACCTAATATATATTACATTATATATAATAATATATATTACAAAATATATCTATTTATGTATACATATTACATAACAGCTGAACTAAGGACACGGTATTACCTGATTAGGTAACTCCAATTCCATCTTCTGTTGACTAGTTCTGGCACCATGAAGACAAATGGCCAGAAGGGCTTCCAAAAGTCGTATACTCTGAAGTGAGGTCTCACTTTCTTGACTTGTAAATATCTTTGCTTCCTCGGGAGCAGCTTCACTAGCTGAAATTTGTTCCACATTCATGGAAGAAATATGCTGTAACTCTAATTTACCTAAACTGTCAGCACTCTTTTTTAGGCTACCTAGTTCTGATGGTATGATACCATCAGATGGTATAGTCAAAGATAATAAATCTTCCTTCATAGTTATCTCAGGTTGAGAAATTCTGTTTAAATCCTGGTTTTCATTTACAGTTGTATCTCCCTCCTTTTTTCCTTGCTCCTCTTTGTGACTTCTGAACAGTTTCTGTATTATCATAAATATTAACTTATGGCATACTTGGAAACCACCAAACCTATAAAACTGTTTCTGGAAGACTGAACTCAACATGTAGATCCAACGACACATAGACCAAATGTCTGCTGCTTGGTGCATATGTTCAGGAGAAGGCAAGGCAAGGCTCTCGAGAGATAAACATGGCAGCATATGACTTAAAGGCTCGCTGGTTGTGCTGTCATAGCCAGAAGTATCTTCTGAGTCATTGGCCAACTCCCTATCAGACTCTGCTTCTTTACTTATGCATAAAAATGCCACACAGAGGAATAGGTTTATTGTGTTGATATGAACATCCTGGTTAACAGTCTTCCGCCTCTTTGGATAAGCTTCTTTGAGGCCAGCATAAAATCTGCTGAGACTCTGAGGAGAATCCGAATAAGCTTGCTGATGATGAAAAGAAGTACCTACATGTACAGAGGACAACTCCTTCTGTTCATTGTCTATCCCATCAATACCTGGAACTGAGGCATCTTTCTGTTGCTCCTCTAGGCTGATTATCAGAGTTTCAAATGCTTTTAGAGAATGACTTCGAATACCATTTAAGTAATTTAATTCGATTATTTGATTTACTCCATTACAACTCAAAAACAAATCTCTTATTACCCTGCGAAAGAAAAAAGCATGTAAAAAGTTTTAAATAAAGAAACATCATTTATAAATAAGTACATATAGTATTTAATATATTGGTATGGCATGTGGGATACACTAACCACTACCTAATTTTATCCATCAATTATCGGGCTAAAGTTCTTAGTTAGATATAATCAGGACCTCAAGTTACTTTCTAATTACTCTGATATCCTTCTCCAAACATTTGTATATATGGCTCCAGCAGTGTCTAGAAACAAAAGATTACCTGTCCCACATTAAATGAAGCAATTCAGGGAATAATATTTTTCTCCAAATGGCAAATTCTATATAAATTCTGAACATCACAGCCACCACCACACTCGCGATAGACACTCTGAGGGCAGGTAAGCATGTGTTTGTTCATTAGTTTTTCTGCCTGATGGTTCATTTGGGAATTTTTGTTTATTTTAAATCTATGCCTTATGAAGAGAAAGAATCACACTACAGAGCTGAAAATCTTCAGAAGGTTCGGCATCACATGAATTTCCCTTCTAACTGGGCTAGTTGCACAGAGTCAATAGTACAAATACTATAAAAAGGTTTTCAGCTCTGTCTCAGGTGAGACTTGTGTCTAGATCATTGGAATCCTACTAATAACTTTAACATAAGCCAGCTAGGTGATTCTCAGCCCTTCCATCACAAAGATCCAGGTTGTCCACAAATATGCCAAAGAGTTACAAAACTTTCTAATCAGTCAGTTCTATTTAAACGATGCCGAAACGTCAGAAAAATTTTTAAATGACTGTAAGGCAATGATTTAATGTCAATAATAGTTTTAAAGTAGTTGTACTAAGATGGACCAAAAAATGCCACACATGAAGATATTAATGATAGGATATATTTGTATAAGTTTCTAAAATGGTATACACATTAATTTGAAAGGCCAGTCTACCTATCAGAAGCAAGCTTTATTTATAAAATTATTTTTAAATGCACCAGATTTGGCAATCACAAAGTCTGGAAAACTCACTGATATGATTAAAAGTAATTTTAATTTTCTTATTTTTGCTTATCTATATTTTCTAATTTTTCTGCATATATTGCAGAGGTTACAAATGTAAATTTAATATTTTAAAATTAACAATCCCATTAATACCACTGCCTCAATAATCATTTTATGTATTTTACATATACTACATATTTTACATAGTTGTAAATAAGTGAACACTATTTTTTTTTTTTTTTTTTGAGACGGAGTCTTATTCTGTCACCCAGGCTGGAGTGCAGTGGCCAGATCTCAGCTCACTGCAAGCTCCGCCTCCCGGGTTTACGTCATTCTCTTGCCTCAGCCTCCCGAGTAGCTACTACAGGCGCCCGCCACCTCGCCCGGCTAGTTTTTTGTATTTTTTAGTAGAGACGGGGTTTCACCGGGTTAGCTAGGATGGTCTCGATCTCCTGACCTCGTGATCCGTCCGTCTCGGCCTCCCAAAGTGCTGGGATTACAGGTTTGAGCCACCGTGCCCGGCCTAATACTATTTTAATTGTTTATATTTTACCCATAAGATAGTATAATCATTTTCTCATATTCCAATATGATCTTTGTAAACATTTTCAATGGCCAATAATATTGTATCAAAGAAATATAAAGTAATTAAACTTGCCCTGCTCTTGGATATCTGTGTTTCATCTACGTTTTTCTCAGAAGTATATCTAAAACTTTTCTTTTTGTTGAGAAATTAAAATCAATGGCTCTATCCTCTTCTCTGTAAACAGCTCAGTAAAAATACATACATACATAAACAAATGGTTAAAACAAATCTGATGTGGAAGGAGAACATTTTTTGTTGGCAAATTGAAATTAAATCCTAGGAAAGAATAAACAGTAAATATGATCACACTACTGCCAAGGCCCTGGAGATATCAGTGTCAGATGTTTAAATGCATACATTTCATCACTCACTTGAAAGTATCCAATGAAAAAGATCTAGACATGCACGCCCCACCCGCCCCCACCACCCAAACACATACAAACCTGGATTTAAGCAGGATAGGCAGAGTTTTTACATAAATCTGAAGCACGTCCTGAGGCAAGCACTGGTTACGATGACTACATACATGACTCTGAGCTGAAGTAATGCTTAGGTGTTGACAATGATGTGCTAATTCAACTCCTCTTTGGAGCACAGGATTAAATATGTAATTATATAGCTTCCACTGAACAACTATATTGCCTTTCTGGATTAAACTGCAAATGTGATTTGCAATCTGTATACTATGTAATCTGTCTTCTTCAAAAACAAAGTTCTGATAAGCCTTTAAAGCATCCCATTTCCACAACAAATCTTCAGATCCACTGCTAGGCAGGATCCCTTGAAATCTATAAGAAGGAGTGGATGAACTTGAGGAGGGTTCAGCATCACGTAAGTTTCCCTGCAGTGTCTCTTCTAATTGGGCTAGTTGGTCAGAGTCAACAGTGCAAATATTACAAGCTGCTTTTTTAATTTTTGGTGATATCTCTGCTCCTCCTAACTGATCCAAAATAAGTTTGTTAAGGATATTCAATATATGCTGCTGAAAATTTTTCAGTGCTGGCAACTTAAAAGCATGGAGCAAAGGAACGATTACAGATTTGGGATCCATACAACAGCATATTCCAATGTTATGAACACCCGAGAGGATCTGGACACAAGTGCTGCTCAAGGAAGCCTGCTGTAGTAAGCGCAAGCACTGATGGGCACACACCGCAATGCAACAGCACCGCTCAGGATAATAAACATCTCCATCTGCAGTCTCTTCAAATGGGTTTTTGGAAACCTGGTTTTTAAAAGCTGAAACCAGAAGACCTGAGAGATCTCGGTGATGATGCATAAAATGAGAATATTCACATCGTCTGTGCCTTTTTCTTGTACACATCGAATGATGAAGTTGCTCTGATTTCACCTTTTTGACAGTGCTCATTATTTTCATCACACTATTTATTAGGGCTCTCAAATGCTCTGAGGCCTCAGGAGGAACTCCATCTCTTAAAACCAGCCATTCCATTTGAAGAACTGCTGTTTCAAATAAATTAAATCCATGATGCTGAATGAATTCTTGAACCAAATCCACAGCTTGACTGAAGTAGAAGGGATTTGAAGCTGCACTCTGAAGACAACAGATCAGAATCCGAAGAACTCCTTCCAAAAGCTCAGGTAAAAGAAGGGCTCTATGACGATACTTTGAAAACACAAAATCTTCCTGAACCTCCTGCAGTGTTTTCTTTTGTCTTGGTGCAAAAGGGTCAGGCTGCTTTTCTAGGCATGTTCTAATTTTTAAAGCTGCTCTAAGCAATTCAGTTAAATTTTTCCTAAGATTTTCTGGCATCATCTCTGCAGTACTAACATCTACTGACAGAAGATGCAACACTGTTCGAAAGAGCATCCTTTGAATCAAAGCCACTGGTTCTTCAGTCCAACCTGCAGAAACTACTCGACTCTCCAAGTTGTCACTCAGACTACAGCAGTCCCCAAAGCCTGCTAGGAATTCAGTTAGTGTGGGCACTACACTGGCTGCTAAAGGAGAATTATGATTCAAGGTAATGTCAAACTTACAAACTTTTTCTAATAAAGATAACAAAACATGACATAAGTCAAACGGAGAATTGTTCATGTTACTGATAACAGACAAGGCAGCTGGCTCACTTAAAATGTCAGTGTTTGACTCCTGTCTTGGAATAATCTCTCTGGAATTTTCCAAAGCCATAGTATCTGGAGGAGTCTGTTCTTCTTTGGTTGTTAAGTGGTCAAGTTTAGCTTTAGGGTGGTCTTCTTTAGGAAACGATGTTACAAAATGCTGCAGCAGATGGGGCCTTCTATGCTTATTCATTGTTATGCCTTTTTCATCTGAATTGGCTTCTGAATCTGAGGTGGACAGCTGTGTCTTTCTTGCATCTCTTATAGAATAGCGATGGGTAATTTTACGCTGTCGTCTGCTTTTTCGAAAAACATTTACTTTTGCAGAAACCTGACTAGACAGGGCACTTCCTTCTAAATGTAATTTTTCCTGAGTGGATCTTTGTGAGCTTGAGTTCTTTTCTTTGGTCAGGATTATATCAGCTGAGAGCGGTAGATTAAAATCTAACAGAATGAAGAAAGAAGACTTAGAATAGCTCAATATGTTTTAAAACTCAATTTTAAGGTGACAGCCCTCTTATTTATCACCCACTAAAGGAGTTTATCCTCAATGTATTTTGCAGCAGGGCTGATTTCCTTCATTTATGTCATATCTCTGGGTTACTTCCTCTCACACTTGTCCTTACTCTAAACACTAGCTGACATTAGTTCAAAGGATACAAATTGATTTTTAAAACAACAAAACAGAGGCACACCTATCCTTACTCTAAACACTAGCTGACATTACTTCAAAGGATACAAACTGATTTTTGAAACAGCAAAAGAGAGGCTGGGTGAGGTGGCTCATGCCTGTAATCCCAGCACTTTGGGAGGCTGAGGCAGGTGGATCACTTGAGGTCAAGAGTTTGAGACGAGCCTGGCCAACGTGGTGAAACCCTGTCTCTAGCTAAAATATAAAAATTAGCCAGATGTGGTGGCACCTGCCTGTAATCCCAGCTACTTGGGAGGCTGAGGCAGGAGAATCACTTGAACCTGAGAGGCGGAGGTTGCAGTGAGATGAGATCGTGCCACTGCTCTCCAGCCCAGGTGACAGAGTGAGACTCTATCTCAAAACAGCAACAACAAACAAAAGAGAACAAAGTTAAGAAAGTAAATCTGATTTAAAACTATATATTATATTCTAACTTCAACATAAGAGATGCTGTAGATTATCTGGTATTTAGTGCTGTTGTTCATACTGTTTACAAATCTCCTCCCATAGTCCCCTAATTAAGATATAAGGATGTATTATATTCTCAAAAATAGTATTCATAGACCTGATAGAACTTAACTACTTTAAGATTTTCCTAAAATTATTTCAAAATCATACACTATATGCCAAATGTTCTCCAAAACTGAGGTTTAAAGAATTCTTTATTCAAATTATTTCTTAAATGTTTCAGCATTTGAGAAACTAGGCACCAGGTATAGACATCGTTATTTCATTCCCAGTGCCTAGATAGGGCCTGGCATATGGTCAACACTCAGTAACTATTTCTTAGGGGAAATGAATGAATTCTCCTTTTAACTAAAAAGATAATTAAATCAGTCTTTCTCTTTGCAGTATGTAATAAGAGCTATATAAAAAAGTATTTGTAATTTAGAGTGAGTAAATTAAAATCCGTAAATAAAAAATCTGTGCTTTACTAAGACAGGGAAAGCAAACCAGATGGGAAGAGGAGAAATTAAAAGGAGTCTGACAAATTCCACCCAAGTAAAAGATGCAGACAATGAAGACAACTTCCCCCAAAGAGCATTAATCAGATTTCTTAAGTGATTAACAATGTGTGAATTCTGCAAACTCAGAAAAAAATAAAAGCAGAGAGTTAGTGAATCAATAAATAAGCAGAAAAACAGTATTACAAGACCTTAGATACTTCCTTTAAAAAACCTCCATGAAATTCACTAAAAATACAGGAATTAAAATAGAATAGATTTTTTTTTTTAACCTGAGAGATCTTCAAACATCTCACAAGTCACATGTCACAAGAAAGGGTCAAGAGGAAAACTATTAATCTCACCAATGAAACATTTAAAGTTTCATGTACTTTATAGACATATGAATTCTTCAAAATCATAAATTAAAAATATCTATTGACCTTATGTGTAATAATTCTACCCAAGCTTGAAACAAAATATTATATTAAATTTATCCTTTAGGCTGGGCACAGTGGCTCATGCCTGTAATCCCAGCACTTTGGGAGGCTGTGGTGGGCAGACTACTTGAGGTCAGGAGTTTGAGACCAGCCTGGCCAACATGGTGAAACCCCATCTGTACTAAAAGGCGAAAATTAGTCTGGCATGGTTGTGCACTCCTGTAATCCCATCTACTCAGGAGGCTGAGGCACAAGTATCGCTTGAACTCGGGAGGCTGAGGTTGCAGTAAGCCGAGATCACTCCACTGCACTCCAACCTGGGTGACAGAGTGAGACTCTGTCTAAAAATAAAATAAAATAAAAATTATCCTTTAGAGGCAACACTAGAAAAACTAAGCTAAAACAAATACTGCAAAAGTCACTTAAAGAATACTGGTAATCGAAAGCAGTCTTTAAAATAAGCAAAGAAACTTTAATTGCTTTATTCAGGTTTTTCACTTCCAACTTTTCACTATCCACTTTTCTGATGTATGCTACACACCTAGATTCACTCCTTCTGGTAAGTGTTCTGCTTCTTCATACATTTTCTAATCATCAGTACATTCAAGTACTTCCCTCAGGAAGCACCATGGTTTTTGTATTATTGAAAGAAAAATGTGTTTGCCTAAATAATTTTTCATATTTAGTATATAATAAATCACTATAACATATACTGTTCTGAATCTGAATCAGAATCAAACATTCAGGCAGAAGTAACTTTTCTATGAGATTTTGATAACACAAGTGATATGATAAGGGGAAAAAGCATACCTGTTGCCTTTTCTTCTTGGACAGGTATCTTCCATACCAGTGGAAGGAGAGACAGAAGAAGAGTCAGGAGTTCTTCTCTACATGTCAATGCCTGTGTCAGTTAACAAAAGAATCCTTCATGTTCTAAGGCAATAAGACACATCAATTCCTAATATCTTATCTTAAACTGACCAAAAAATCCTTTCTTGAAAGGCTGCATTTGAAAAGCTAAGAATCAAATTAACCTATCCTCAATCCAATTAAAGCTGTGATACTTTTAAGTTTATAAGCCATTCTAATCATAGAAGAATCTAAGAGTATTTGACAGTATTTAGCACACTGTTGCTGATATTTCCAAAAATAGCTGTTATTACCACCATGCACATTGCAAGAATTCCTCACCTATGAAGAAACAGATTTGCTAGGTGAAAATGAAAAGTTAAGTCCTATTAATTAGCAAACCAGTGCCACAAAGTTACTAAAAAAATGTGAAGCCTTCATGCAGTTAAATGTAAAACTCAGAGACAATTTTAAAGAGAAACTGACATTATTAATAAATAATATATAAGGAGAGAAAGACTTATTAGTGAATGTAATCCAATAAATATTTATTGACTGCACACTATGTCCACAAAAATACTGTCTTACCCTTTGTGGAGGAAATGGTCCAAGCCCTGGAGAAGGTCCCCTCATTTGGTCCATAAAATACATACACATAAACAGTTAAAGAACAGCAGAAAGCATGTAGTATAAGTAAGTATCCGGGGTGGTACAAGCATTCAGTTTAGGAGTTCAGAAAAAGGAGCAGTCATTATCAGAAGTATAGAAGTAGAATGGGAGCTAGAGAGCTAGACCTGGGACACCTGGGACATGGGTAGTAAAGGATTTAACGACAACACAAGCTTGAGTTCTTGCCTTACACCAATCAGTGAGAGAGGGGGTCGGCATGATGACACAATCAGATTTGCTGAACGGAATTAGGTGGAAGGGGAAGCAGTGTTAGAGGCAGGGAAACAATAATCCAGATGAGAGAGATGATGACTTTCTGAAGTACTCCAACAACAGAAGGGAAAGGAGACATATTTGAGAAACTGTAAGGTAGAACTAAAATAATTTGCAGTGGATTATCTGTGGCACATAAGGGATAAAAAAAAAAAAAAAAAAAGATCTAAAAGGACCCACAGGTTTCTGGTTTCGGCAACTAGGTAGCTGATACTGTATTCACCAAGACAGGAAATTTACAAGCAGTATTAGGTTGGGATTCACTTTTTAGACATATTGAGTCAGATGTCTATGGGCTATCCTAATGAAGGCAGCTTTTTAGTAGACAGTAAATATATAGATCTGGAACTTAAAAAAAAATATGAAGTAAATAACAAGATTTGGAAGTCATTGGGGTGGAAGGCAAGAACATATGTGAGTTTTCCCAGGGTGAGAATATAGAATAATAGGAGACCACCAAGAATGAAACTCTGGACTTTAAAGACTTAAAGATGGGCAATGCTAAAGAAACGCCTGAAAAGGCTTCTACTGAAAAGTAGAAGTACAACCAGAAAAGAGAAGTACAACCAGAGAAACCAAGGAAGAGACCAGTTCAGGAAAGAAAGGAGTCAGCAGGGCCAAAGCTGTTGCCCTTTCACTGTGTGATGGCTGAAAAGCATTTAGCAACTGGAATGCCCCTTAACTAACACAGTTTTAATGGAGTGATTTGGGTGCAAGTCCAATTACAATAGGCTGAAGAGTCAAAGGAAGTGAGAAAGTAAAGACAGGACATTCGGACTATTCCTTCTGGTGTCCTGGTTGTGAAAAGGCCAGAATTCTTCAAAAAAGGGGTTTAGCAAAATCTAAACCCCTTTTTAGGCATAGAAAACCCTTCATAGCAATGATTCCTGTTGACCTGTCCAGTTTCAGCTCCCTCCGCCACACATGAGCCGTCCTCACACATCTAGCTGGTAAGGGTTTCCTCTGAAAACTACTGGTCTCCGTGCTCCCAGTAGGTCTTCCTCACATACACTGTTTCTGCAGTTCTCCATCCCCATCCTCCCATCTGCCAAACTGCAACTCATTCTCTAGGTTTTTATTTCCTCTGTGGGGAGACTTCTCTAACACCCTACCTGCTTCCCTTAGTAAACTTAGCTTTCATGTTCCTGATTTGCTACCATTCCAGCAAACACCCTGCTGAAGTGTTACTGTCTGAATGCCCATTTTCCTCTTTTATCCATTAAACAAATGTTTCTTGACCCCCTACTAAACAGGCCAGGCACTGTGTCAGGTACTTCAAATGCTGTGGTGAACACACAATATCCATATCCTCATGAAGCCTACTTTCTAGCACAAGAGACAGAAAATAATGGGTAAAAATAAGAAAATTTCAGATATAATGCTGTACTATGAAGGAAATTATCTAGGAAAGAGATTACAGAGTGACAAAAAGGGGAACATTTTAGACAGGCTATTTAGGACGGGCTATTTGAGCAGATACTTCACTGATGAGAAGAAGGAATCTATGCAAAGATTTGGAGGAAAAGGGCTCCTAGCAAGTATATGAAGTATTGGGAATGGGTTTGGCTTTTTCATAGAAAGCGAGAAAGCCCAGGAGCTCCCAGATCTGATAAATAACTTCAGCAAAGTCTTAGGCTACAAAATCACAAATCAGTGGCATTTCTATACATTGACAACACCCAAGCTGAGGGCCAAACCAAGAACACAATCTCATTCACAACAGTCACAAAAAGAATAAAATACCTAGGAATACAGCTAACCAGGAAGGTGAAAGATTTCTACAATGAGAATTATAAAGCATTGCTGAAAGAAATCAGAGATGACACAAACAAATGGAAAAACATTCCACGTTCATGAATAGAAAGAAACTATATTATTAAAATGAGGCCGGGCGCGGTGGCTCACGCCTGTAATCCCAGCACTTTGGGAGGCCGAGGCAGGTAGATCACAAGGTCAGGCGATCGAGACCTTCCTGGCTAACACAGTGAAACTCCGACTCTACTAAAAATACAAAAAATTAGCTAGGCATGGTGCCATGAGCCTGTAGTCCCAGCTACTCGGGAGCTGAGGTAGGAGAATCACTTGAACCTGGGAGGTGGAGGTTACAGTGAGCCGAGATCACACCACTGCACTCCAGCCTGGGTGAGAGAGCAAGACTCCATCTCAAAAAAAAAAAAAAAAAAGCCATACTGCCCAAAGAAATTTACAGATTCAATGCTATTCCAAACTACCAATGACATTCTTCAAAGAATTAGAAAAAGCTATTTTAAAATCCATATGGAATAAGAAAAGACTCTGAATAGCCAAAGCAATCCTATACAAAAAGAACAAAGCTAGTGGCATCATTACTTGACTTCGAACTACTCTAGAAGGCCATAGTAACTAAAACAGTATGGTACTGGTACAAAAACAGACAGAGAGACCAGCGGAACAGAAATAAAGCTGCACACCTACAACCATCTGGAATATAACCTAAGAAATACCATCGTGGACATAGGCCCTGGCAAAGGTTTCATGGACGCCAAAAGCAATCATGATGAAAACAAAAATTGACAAATGGGACTTAATTAAACTAAAGAGCTTCTGCACAGCAAAGGAAACTATCAACAGAGTAAACAGATAGCTTACAGAATGGGAGAAAGTATTTGCAAACCATGTATCTGACAAAGGTCTAATATACAGAATCTATAACGAACTTCAACTTTATAAGTAAAAGACAAATGACCCTATTAAAAAGTGGCCAAAGGACACGAACAGACACTTTTCAAAAGAAGACATACATGCACCAACAAGCATATGAAAAAATGCTCAACATCACTAACCATTAGAGAAATGCAAATCAAAACCACAATGAGATACCATTTCACATCAGTCAGGATGGCTATTAAAAATGGAAAAAAAAAAAAACACACATGCTGGTGAGGTTGTGGAGAAAAGAGAACACTCATACAATGCTGGTGGGAACATAAGTTAGGTCAGTTATTGTGGAAAGCAATTTGGCAATTTCTCGAAGAACTTAAAACAGAACAACTATTCAACCCAGCAATCCCATTATTGGGCATATACCCAAAGGAATATAAATCATTCTACCACAAAGACAAATGCATGCTTATGTTCATCACAGCACTATTCACGATAGCAAATCAACCTAAATACCCATCAACAGTAGACTGGATAAAGAAAATATGGCACATACACATCATGAAATACTGTGCAGCCACAAAAAAGAAGGAGATCATGTCCTTTGTAGCAATACGGATGGAGGCTGAGGTCATTATCCTAGGTGAACTAACACAGAAACAGAAAACCAAATACTGCATGTTCTCACTTCATAAGTGGGAGCTAAACCTTGGGTACACATGGACACAAAGAAGGGAAGAGACACTGGGGCCTCTTTCAGGATGGAGGGTGGGAGAAGGGTGAGGATCAAAAAACTATCGGTTGGGTACCATGCTTATTACCTGGGTGATGAAATAGTCTGTACACCAAACCCTGTAACATGCAATCTACCTGTATAACAAACCTGCACATGCACCCCGAACTTAAAATAAAAGTTAAAAAAACATATTTGTTACCACAAAAATGATCTATTCATAAAGAGTTTGAAGGAATCCACTGGCAAGAGAATTGTCCCTTAAGCCCTTGAAGGAGAAAATATGTAAGTTTTACAATATTTTCTGTGATGACTATTTGAGATTTATACACACCTGTCAATTTTGCGATGTACATTTTTCTAGAAATTTGTCATTTCATATTTTTAATTTGTCACTTCATGATTATAATTAACTTTAATCATGTTATGATTACTTTCATGATTATTTTAACTTAGGAATTATATATTACATCCTATTTTTAAAAAAGAAAGAAAGAAGGAGAGTGGCTAAAACATACATAGCAAGGGGGAGAGGGCTAGGAGACAAGGCTGGAAGGTGTAGGTTGGATGGGCAGGCAGCCTCAGATCTAATGGGCCCTTCGGGACCACACAAAGGAGTTCAGGTTTATCTCCAAATATGATGGGAAACTTTCCCAAACACACTTCTCAGTCTTCTCTCAGGGCATGTACTCCAGGGCCCAGGCCCTAGTCCTTAGCAATCACCCCCTTTTCTGCCA